AGTTGAACAACGAGTCAATTCGCAGTTATCGAGGTCGATGTCAGGTCGTGATCTGTTTGGTGACTGACCACCTTTAAGAAGTGGTAGACCACCTTCAAAAAGTGTCAACCTTCACGAAGTGCCAAACAGTCGGTGGTCAGAGGACTCCAGTGCCAAAAGCATTCTTAGGGGACCTTGCGGTCGTGTTCAGAACATATTGGCGTAGCACTAGATGCTCACCAAGCAGTTCTGGATGTCGGTTATATCGACACATCATAAGATGCCTTACAAGCAAGCAGCGGCTGCTTGCAGGACCTTCTACCCGGTATGGATCTTTGAGAGCAGAGTTTCGCACTTCACCGCGAGATCCACGTCGGATAGGTGGACCTGCCATCCTACCGCTGTTAGCTGTAGCCATCTTGAGGGAGTCGATGAGGTGAGGACCTGGCAAAGAAAACTTTCAGTGGACTTTGTTGCCGTGTTTTTTGAACTTATTGGCGTAGCACAAGATGCTCACCAAGCAGTTCTGGATGTCGGTTATGTCGACAAATCATAAGATGCCTAACAGGCAAGCAGCGGCTGCTTGCAGGACCTTCTACCCGGTGTGGATCTTTGAGAGCAGAGTTTCACACTCCACCGTGAGATCCACATCGGATAGGTGGACTTTCCATCCTACCGCTGTCAGCTGTAGTCATCTTGAGGGAGGTGACGAGGTGAGGACCCGACAAAGAACACTGTCAGGGGACTTTGGTGCCGTGTTTGGAACATATTGGTGTAGCACTAGATGCTCACTAAGCAGTTCTGGATGTCTGTGATATCGACACATCATAAGATGCCTTACAAGCAAGCACCGGCTGCTTGCAGGACCTTCTACCCGGTGCGGATCTTTGAGAGCAGAGTTTCGCACTCCACCGTGAGATCCACATCGGGTAGGCGGACCTGCCATCCTACCGTTGTTGGCTGTAGTCATCTAGAGAGTCGATGTGGTGATGACCCGGCAAAGAACACTCTTAGGGGACTTTGCTGCCGTGTTTGGAACTTATTGGCGTAGCACTAGATGCTCACCAAGCAGTTCTGGATGTCCGTTATATCGACACATCATAAGATGCCTTACAAGCAAGCAGCGGCTGCTTGCAGGACCTTCTACCCGGTGTGGATCTTTGAGAGCAGAGTTTCGCACTCCACCGTGAGATCCACATCAGATAGGCGGACCTGCCATCCTACCGCTGTTGGCTGTAGTCATCTTGGGAGTCGATGAGGTGAGGACCCGACGATGTTCCATTTGGGACGTGCTCTTGTTTCGTGATGTGCAGGTGCTTACCGGCGGTGCGTTCGATCCCCTCCTCGACGTGAAGCAAAGTGTGAGGGAATTGCGCAGGGGTCACACCAGAAGTGCGATTGAACTCGCACTTTGATGGAGAAACAGTTGTGCAGTCCATCAGCGCGACGATTTAATATGGACATTGGCTTGTCATTTGTATATCACAGGTTGAAAACGCCATCAAATCTTTCTGTGTAGAAGATTCATATCCATTCATAGAAGTATCTCTTGTCATCGCTAACATCGAGATGAAAATATGTCAAGTCGAATTGCAAAGCACACAGAGACATCGCAAACATCGAGGTGAGAACATCTGAAGTTGCCTACTGTTTTTCCAAAGGTGAAGTCTCACAGCACACGAACAGTTTTCAGAAACCATTCAATGCAGAAAATTCATTCAAGGACAAATTGCAAAGCACACAGAGACGTTTCAAAAAATCATTGAACGCAAAATATCATACAATCCCACATTGCAAAGTGCACGGAGGCTTTCCAAAAATCACAAAGTATATGGACCCAAAGTGCGAATATATTCTTATTTTCCATATGGAACCAACAGTTCAATCACAAATGCACGACATCCAAAGTGCGAATACGTTCGCATTTCTCATACGGAAACAACAGTCAGCATCCAGTGGAGAGCGGGAGATGTATTCCGGGGATAACAAAATTCGCAATCATTTAGTGCACCGCTGAATCCGTTAAACAACTTCAAGCACAATTCAAATTGCAAAGCGCACAGAGACATCACAAATATCGAGGTGAAAACATCTCAAGTTGCCTAGTGTTTTTCGAAAGGTGAATCTCACAGCACACGAACAGGTACCAGAAACCATTCAATGCAGAAAATTCATTCGAGGGCAAATTGCAAAGCACACAGAGACGTTTCAAAAAAGTCATTGAACGCAAAATATCATACAATCCCACATTGCAAAGTGCACGGAGGCTTTCCAAGCATCACAAAGTACATGGAGCCAAGGTGCGAATATGTTTTCATTTCTCATATGGAACCAATAGTTCAATCACAAATGTATGGCATCCGAAGTGCGAATATGTTCGCATTTCTCATACGGAAACAACAACCAGCATTCCGTGGAGAGCACGAGATGTATTCCGGGGATAACAAAATTGGTGATCATTTAGTGCACCGCTGAATCCATAAAACAACTTCAAGCACACATACATTCTGGCGACAATTGGTTTCCGAATGGAGAACAAGTTCGCAACTGTCATAAGGAACCAACAGACAACATTCAATCGAGACAAGCAGAGGTGGTGAACCGTAAATCGGGGCGGCACACGCATCACAAGAGCGAGCCAAAACATATGAAAGCTGGTTGGTCGGGGTGGGGCGGGGGAGAGGGGCTTTCACACCACAAAGTCTCGCGAACGAAAGAGATAAGCACGAAACAATTTGGCGACCAAGAATAAATCGTCGATATCTTTCACATGAGTAAAAGAGGAGCACAACCTCGAAACGAACAAACGCAACACGTAAGGAGAACAACCCGAAAATAAACAAAAGGAGCACGAAGTTGGGATATTCACATCCGATATGTAAGCGTCTACTTAAAAGGAACTGCACCACTTGGCTGGGATATTTACATCGGCATCTTAGCTTCTACTTCACGTAAGCGTCTGCTGCTACCCTCTAGCTGATGTTGCGTGACAAGCAATGAGAATAACCCGAAAACAAACAAAGGAAGCACGGCGCTGCCGAAACTCGTACGAGTAAAGATGACAGATTCCACGAAATGAAGAACCCTTAAAAAATTGACACAGCACGAGGCTGGGATATTCACATCGACACCTAAGCCTGTACTTGACCAAAACGTCCACTGCAATCCGGCACCTCATGAAAACAACAGCACAGCTCGGACCGGCTGACTGCTAGATCAAGTGGGAAAAGATTCACACTTCTGCTTATGACATTTCGAAAAAAAAACTACGCATATTTTTACAACAGTGGTATCATTCAGCGCCTTGGAGTATGTCCACCGCAATCCTCATCCGGATGTTTGGAATGTCGCTTTGGGCTATCGGAAATGGTGGTGGACAGCCGCATGCAAGAAATAAAGCGAAGGCGAGCATGAAAACACCGCAGCTCGACCCGTCTGATTGTTGAGGGACACCACGAACAACCACCTTGGGCTCCTGGAGATCCACTTCCGTGTTTGGACCATAATGACAAACTGCTTCGTCACGGAGGTATTGCGTGAAGTTCGCAATCACATCGGAAGAAAAACCGCCATCGTCTTGTACGAGGGAGTCGTAGTACTCCAGCCGTTGTTCTCGGAGACACAACAGGGTCCAATGCACTCCATGTTTATGGACAGGAATCAAGACCATCTCGTGCAAGAAAATATCCACATTTTTTGTCCATCTCGCAACCCTATCATGTCGACAGCCGCCACGGACGAGCTTGGTATAGAAAAATGGACTGAAAATGTGAAGAGAGGGACCCCCAGGCAACACAGCGTTGGCAAGCAAGGCCAAGTACGACTCCACCACCTCGTCGGAAAGCCATTCCCACTGAACAAGAGTTTGAAGACTTTCTCTGCTCAACAGAATTGAACTGACCCCTTTGCGAACCGAGCACACCACCTCGTGGCCATTGCTGTAATCTGCACAGACGTTCCGCAACATTCTCAAGTCCGTAGCGCTAAGCTCCTCAGTAGGCAACGGAACGCGAAAACATGATGTAGCCCCAGCTGCACAAACACCCACGAACAAGTGTGAGGAGTGAGCACAAACCCCGTGGTGGAATGGCTAAGAACTGTCTTCCCTTTTCCCAGAAAAGTTGTATCCCCGCTTGTTGAATGTGTCCTTCACGATGTACTTAGGACACGGGTCTTTCAAGACACCCCGTTTGCCATCGCCATCAGACCCGTCAGACAAAGCAGTAACGCTCTCAATAGACGCAGCCAAATGTTTCCGCAGACCTTCCTCCTTATCTATTCCACAAACCTTCAGAACCCTGACAGCTTTCTCGGAAAGGCGAGGCATCTGGGTCCTTTTAAACAACCCTACACTTGACGACTTCTTCGGTGAAGCGGCCAATGACCTCCCTGAAAGACGTTTATCGCACACGGCTTTTAAAGGCGTCATGGGCAGGGACATTAACAACCTCACACCTGTAGAACATAGAAAACAACCCACAACCCACAAACTTTTTTTATACTAGTAGTAACAGGTACATTAGCCCATGACATCAATTTGGACGAACACAGAGCTGGCCAGTGACAGATATGCGAGTGGTCCTATTCACAAATCTTACTGTGCTCGGGAGCCCCTTGAGGGAACTCGCCCTCCTGTCGCGCCACTGCACCAACGTCCACGGACGATTCAAGGTTCTGGACCTCGGCCACGACTGTGTCGCTAACCAGCTCGGTGGCAGCTGAGTCGCTTGGCAAGTTGATGGGTTCATGAAGCACCATTTCCCGACCGGTACTGAGGACAGATGCTCGATCACCCTGTTCGGCACCGCAACGGRTGGACGGAGAATCATGATCTTTCCGCTCTGGATCCATCTTGATGCTGACGGCCACCTCACCGCCTTCGACGGAGGATTCGACGTTCTGCATCTCGGCCACGCCTGAGTCGCTAACCAGCTCGGTGGCTGCCGAGTCGTCACCCAACTCTATGGCTTCACGAAGCACCATTCCTCGAGCGGTGCTCACGACAGACGCTCGACCACCCTGTTCTTCACCGCAACGGGTGGGCAAAGAATCACCATCCTTCCGCTGTGGATCCGTCCGGATGTCGGCAGTCACCTCACAGCCTTCCACCACGGGTTCTCCGCCTTTCTCATCGCAATGAACCCGAGCTTCCACCGCGGGTTCTTCTTCGTCTTCATCGTCGCCAAGAACGGGAACTTGCACGGACGTCCACTGACCTCCCTTAACGACACCCTCTCGCGTCGTGGCCACAACCGAGCGACTGTACAGAACGTCTTCGGACGTCCCGATCACCAGCGCTCGTGCGTGGAGCCACTTCACGTCTTCACGAGCCGTCCCGTGTCGAGTGTCCTCTCCCCGCTGTACAGCGTGCGTTTCCCCCAGAGCTCCTGCACTCTCGCTGTCAGTCTCCACGGACACACCCTCCGAAGCATGACGTTCACACTCGCTACCCCCGGTCTCCAACACTTTGCGAGACTGCCAGCGTTGAGTTTCGTCTTCCCGATGTACAACACGCGTTTCCGGAGAGCGCTCGTCTTCCCCACGAGTGTGACGTTCGTTCTCCCTACCCATGGTCTCCAACACTCCTGGAGCGGGCTCCTCCAGCATGTCGCGAGACCGCCAGTCTCGAGTCTCAAGACATGAGAAGGGAGGCGAGCAGGGTAACCCTGTGTCCAACTGAAGATGCGGGGGCCAGGACGTCACATTTTCTTGGCCCCGTGGAACTGTTGCGTGAGGAGCACGACGTCAGCAAATCCGAATGTATTCGGAGTTTGTGGCGGTCGCCAGAGCCGAGGGAACCGGAGGTCACACCTTTGCTCCTTCGCAATGCAGGCATCCCGCCCTCCAGGCAAAACGAAGACGCGCCCTCTTACAGGAGCAAGGTGTTGAGCACAGGAGACCTCTGCTGTGCACGGCGGGATGGACTCTCCTGGGCAACGGGAAACAAACCCCTCGCAGACAAGTGCGAATCTACTTGCACTTGATCAGACGTCAGGGTGGCCTCGTCTCGCATGTCGGAATCTCGACTCCCTACGCAGTGGGGGCCAGTTTCCATATACTGGGGACTCCCAGACGTTCTACGCTTTTCGCCTGACCCCTTCCCGCCCGACCTCTTCCCGCCTGACCCCTTTCCGCCCGACACCTTTCCACCGGACGCCTTCTCAACCGACGATGTCTCGCCCATCCCCTTTCCGGCAAACTGTGAGCCGTCTCCTCCGCCACCTCCGCCGTCTCCTTCGTCTCCTCCACCACCCCCTCCCGGATGCTGACCGGCCGGCGGAGGTTGCGGCATGCACCAGTCAATGCCACGAGAAGGTGCCGTTTCGAGTGCGTAGAAAGGCGCTCGAAACTCCAACATGTTGTTGACGTACAACTCATGTAGCTTTTGTTCTGCATACGCATCGACGTCCTGATCGTTCCTCTCGGGGTTCATGAGACTCAAATGCTCCACCAGAGCAATTCTTGCCTTTCTCTTAAATGCACCCGCTCCCAGTCTCTTCAGTCCACTCCACTTGCCATCGGCCTCCTTTATTGCCATGACCCATATTCCATTCCTCACAGCAGGTTGGAATATCCTCGGGTGCCAGACGACGTTGTGTCCCCAAACATCCTCCGACGTGAACCGGTGATGCTTCCCGAAGAAGTTGAGTCTGTCATTCTGCCAGGTGTCATGGTCCACAGGGAGCCTGTCACAAGGTTCGTGATCATAGTCTCTCTCTTCCTCCCCGTCATCAGACGATTGGTCGTCGACTGGTTCGCCCCGAAACACACGCTTCAAACCGGCAGGGGACGTGCTATATCTCCGAGGGCCACCTTCCTCTTCATCACCAACCTGTCCAACCACCCGAGGAAGTGGCATGGACTCGAARTCGAAKGTTTCGGAGTCGCTCAGCTCCTCCATGTCTTCAGCGTCGAAAGGATCCTCCTCGTTAAACTGTGACTTGTAGTTTTCGAGAGTGAGCGGTTCGGCCAGCGTGAAGTAAACGTGTTCCAGCCTTCTCAGGAGGTGCGAGACAGACTCCCTGGGTGCACCGTGGTACCCATTGAGCACAGCAAACACCAGGTTTCTCCGTGGATTGTATTCGAGGTCGATCGGACCAGGCGGTCTGGGTCCAAAAAGGAAGTCCTAAGCGTCCGTCCTTTTGTTCCCCGGCAATTTCTAATACATGCCACGTTTGGGATCCCAGTTTCGTTCGCCGGTGGACCGTGCAAACTCGCAAGCATTGCGAGTGTCTGCAACGCGTGCCTTCACGAACTCGTGAAGGTAATCGATCATCTTCGCCTCCTTCTCCAACGCGACGACGTTCCGACCGGTGCGCAGGAGTTCCCACACGACAGACACATGCGCCTTCCCAAAGAAAAAAACAGTTTGACCAGCTTTGCAAAAGTTCTCGAGTAGACCAAGTAGACGGGACGGGTTCCGCTCCATCTCCCCGTAAGCAGGTCCTTGAGAACTTGTCACGCCGCCGTCCTCCCACATGCTACGAGAGAACCTTTCCTCTCCCGCCACGTCGAAACACGTCACAGCCTGTCCTGATGGGTCCGACGAACAGACAGCTTTCGAGCGGCCCGCCACCGTGTGTTTGGCCGGACTTGGACCATGAGCACGGGAAGGCTTTGTCGGGCTACTGGACGGGCACACTGCGAATGTGTTGTCTTCCAGCTTCTCGCCATTAAAAATCACGTACAGGCGGTCACACTCCTCAACCAGCATATTGCCTTCCCGGACAGTGACCTGCTTTTGTGTATTACGTACCCACTTCCCTGTCCTGACGTGATGGACGCTAAGCCTGGCCATGCCTTTCAAGAAACTGAGCTCCCAACGAGAGGGGAAAAAGATCACAAATGCCCAGTGCGTTGGCAAAAGTGTTTGTAGAAGGCCTTGCAAGTTGGTGAAATCGTCTTCTCGCCAGTCTGTGAGGAGTGTGGGATCACACAAATCGAGGACGTACAGGTTGCACACGTAATGTCGCACAACCTCACGGATCGCAGTGACATGACTGTGAGCTTGGGAAGGCGGGAAAGCGAAAGGAATAAGGCTGGTCACCCGGTTGAGGTCGGGCCATTTGATGTGCCTCACATCCCCGCTGACCCTGATCGTGTCTTGAACTTCTTCTTCCGTCCGTCGCAAGATAGAACGGACAGACTTTTCGAAAGATTTAGGGAACCTGTCGTCCTTGTACAATTTCTTCGCGTCATCGAGGGACTCCTTCTCATGCGGAAGAGTACGTTTGCAAGTGTTCACGTACTCCACCGCGCCCTAGAAATGCTTTCGCATTTCGACCCACACCTGTTTCGTGAGGCCCTGCGGCCCGAACTCCTCCAGAAGTTTCCCCTCGGTCCGAAAAAATGGGCTCCCGTGACGCCAAACACTTTCGTCCTCCTCCGTTTCAAGGAGCAAGATGTAGTGGAACATACGGAGCATCACACAGTCCACTTTCCTCGTCGCGACCATGTCTTTAATTCCAGGTTTATGCTGACGCTTCAGATGGCCGCCCGCGGATTGCACGAACACTCCCCGTAGTGCGAGAATGTCGTCGAGGATCGACAGTTTCTCGACATCGGTCATGTTGGCGAGAGACTGCCAACAGAACATGTCTGGCTCCTTCACGACCACGAAAAACTTGTCGCCCGCTTGCATTTTCTTTTTGGTCGGAGGCGGCGGGACCCGGACCAGCCACCCCATCTTCGTTTCACCAGCCGCCCCTTTCAAGCCCATTTCTGGAATTGCTTGTAGACCCAGAGATTTGTTTGGCATGTATTTGCCCGGCCTCGACAATGGCGTCTTGTCGTCGCCGCCCAACAACTTCCCCGCCACCCATTTCGCGTAGAACTCCATGGCTTTGCGGAAAACGTCATCACGGGCCGTCACGAGCGGCATCCACTACCTCAATGCATTGCCAACGGCAGCGACATACTCCTTGTCGGCAAGCGGCAAATCTTTTTTTGACAACGCCCAGTGAGATTCGTTCGGACTCTTTCCCAAAATCAGCTTTTGGAAATCGAAAAACTTTTGTTTTTCGGCCTCCTTGCCGGAAGGGTTCCCTTGAATGGCCATCGGCCTTCCTTCGTTCTCCCATGCCTCCCGCACGTCCAAGAACGCGGCCTTCTGCGATCGCTGCTTAGACATCTTGTGTCTCGTGTTTTCGTTGAGACTGACCCACCTATACCCCGCGAAATCTCGGTCGGAGAACCACACTACTCTCGCTGGCCACGAGTGCATCTTCCACAAATCGAATATCTGCTCACCCTCCAACTCCTTCACAGCAACCACGGTGTGTTGTCCGTTAACAGGGTAATAGTAGTACTTGTCCTTGTCCTCTGGCTTGAAGACATCTTTATGAACCGTGTCAGCTTGCTCCGGCCTACGTGTCACCGGCTTGTAGATGGGTGCCAAAACGAGAGGGTTTTTCGTCCAGATCTTCTTCTCGCGGAATTGACTCAGCATCGCATCCTTGATGTCGTTCACAGTTTCGCGACTTAGACTGCGGTGGTTGTAATATCTTTCCCAAGGCGGGATGTCGCAGACCTTCCTGGGGTCGATGAGCAGTTGGACGGGGAGCTCCTTCTCCACGATTTCACCGACATCGTTCCGCTCGTATTCGAGTCAGAACGCTGCCGCTTCGTCGCACTCCTGACCGACAGACCCTTCACCACCGCTCGCCGCGTCAGCAGTCTTCCGCCTTCGAAGTTTCTTCTGGCCATCGCCTTCTTCAGCTGCCACTTTCCGTTTCGATTTCCCCGAAGGTTCTCTCGCGGCCGCAGCGCCTGGATCAGCCGAATCTCCTCCACCCGCGGCTTGTCCTTCGCGGATGGTCAAACCGCCGGGCCTCCTCGCTTTCTTACTTGCCGTCCCACCCTCTTCCTTCGTCGGTTTTTTTCCCGAGGCACGTTCTCCGTCACCACCTCCATCCCCGCCCATCAACGCCTCCGGTTTTCCTCTCATCCTCTTCATGCGGAGGGTTCCTTCTGCCACCTCCTGTCGCACCATCCTCTGTCGCTCGCTCTTCTTCTTCGAAGGATTTGCTCCCCGCCAGAGCTTTTGCGGACAGCGCCCATCCCTTCAGCCTCATTCCATCCAACATCTAGCCCCGATTTGCTTGAATCTCTTCTCGTCTCATCTCGAAGCGAATACATGTCGGCGCCGCAGCGGACCTTGATAAGTTTCGGAGTACCGACCCGTTGAGTCGGTGTACCCTGAGAATGCAAGTCCGACGTGTTCCTAGGAGCATACGGGCCGACCTGCGTGTGAATGCTGCGTCCCTTGACCGGACCCCCAGCGTCTTGAATCGGACTCTCGCGCCCAACTGCCGTACCTGGAGTTTCTTGAGCCAAGTCGGACGACCCCTCACGGGGTGGCAGAAGCCGGAAAACATGCTCTGGCGGAAGAACTGGACGTTCTTTTGGCACCATCAGCGCGAGATCGAGATATTGCTCTGGCGATGGAAGACGCTTGCTGCCGCCATCGTAAAGGCCTTTGAAGTGAGAGCACAACGGCATGTTCGGGCCGTACCCCGCGAAACTCTTGATGGTCACCAGCACACCTTTAACACCTCTGAGAGGCAGTCTGCACTCGTCGTACACGTCGTTAGTGTGCAGCTTGAGCAAACCTCCATGAGTCTTCGCGCAGGAGACGACGGTACCGAGAGGAACAACGTTGATCTCTCCCCCAGCGTCTGTAACGCAAGTGGGTCGAATGAAAACAGCTGGCCCAAAAAGGTCCCCCTGAACAACGAAATCCAAAAACCATGGTGCTCCCTTTGTGTGCATATACTGAGGAGTAGGTTGCTGTACAGGTCGTCCCTCCCCGGGGGCAGATGGTCCAGCGCTTGTGGATGTGTTCTTTGCGGACGCCATTGTATTCCCACCCGTTGACTAGCACGCCCAACCTCAGGCCAACTCGGATGACTAATACGCCCAACCCTAGACCACTACAGAAGCGAAGTGCGAACAAACTCGGACTTAACGAAATGGAGGACGAAAAGGACATAAGAGATGGGTGTTCGAAATGCACACGAAGTCACAACAATCGGGTGAAGGATAGGAAAGACAGAAGTTCGGAGGGAAGACAATAACTGTTCGGAAAGATTGCGACCCAACTAGATGCCCTCGAAACGAGTAAGATGTGGTTTATCGACAAGTGCGAAGGGTGTCGACAAGTGCGAACTAACTTGCAGTTATGTAGACAAGACAACAATGACAACCCGCTGCACTAGGGGAAAGTGGAAACTAACTCGGAATTGTGGAACTGAAGACCTGAAAGACGCACGAAACGAGTAAGATGTGGTTTATCAACAAGTGCAAATCGACAAGTGAGAACTAACTCACAGTTCTGCTGACAGGACGACAATTGCAACCCGAAGTACAACGGGAAAGTACGAACTGACTCCGAATTGTGGAACTGAAGTCCTGGTTTATCGACAATTGCGAAGGGTTTCGACAAGTGCGAACTAACTCGCAGTTCTGTAGACAAGACAATAATGGCGATGCGCAGCACTAGGGGAAAGTACGAACTAACTCAGAATTGTGGAACTGAAGACCTGAAAGCCGCACGGGTTGGGTTGTCACCTCTACAGCAGTGTTGCTTAAAAAGTGCGAACTAACTCGCATTTGTGGAAATAAACAACTGCCTTTAATGAAATATGTGTCTAACCTTGGGAAAACTGCGAATAACCTCGCAGTTGTCACTCCTCGAATACTGTACGTCGCAAACTGCGAACTGACTCGCAATATATCTCTGTATATATATATATATATATATATATATATATATATATATA